TCTTCGTGATTGTTATCTGTTGTTACTTCGTGACAATTTTATGTACTTTGGTTATTTCTCCTCTTATAGGCAGACCAATGTCCAAATAACTTCTATTTCGGCCTAATAAAACTAATTTATTCCGGTCACATAGTGCTATAAATTACGTTACGCGTTTTAAAGATACACACAAATATTAAAAAAAAAAAAAAAAAAAAAAAAAAAAAAAAAAAAAAAAAAAAAAAAAAAAAAAGAGAACACCTTAAAATATCAACAAGTTTTTCGCATTGAATTACGAAATTAATTTATGGATTCTAAATTTTTTTATAACTTGAATATATAAATTAACTACTTCTATGAAAATTACTTAATTAATTAAATTGCTGTATAAAATATAATTAATTTTATTTTAATTCACTTAATTATTTTTTTGAATTTTATGTTTATTTTATCGCAAAAAAAATCTGCGCCTCCATCAATTAAAAGTAAAATGACAAATCTATATTTAAATATTTTGAAAGGGTTTTGATCACAACTAATAAAATATATTGAAATCCATTTAATTGATTATTTAAACAAAATCGAGTTCGGTAAAATCAAACTAAAAATGCAAAACAAGGAAGAACTTAACTAATAAGATGAAACCTAATAAATATTCAAATTTTATCAGATACCGAGTTAAGGCGATTAACGCAAACTATTTTTGTGTCTTCAAGCAAATATAAAAGCTATTTAATATACAAAAAAAAAAAATATTTATGAAATTCTAAGTAGAAATACTTCTAAACCAATAACTCAGAAGGCAATTCATAAACAAAACAACTTTCATGCATGAAATTCTTCCAAAATTTTATTTAATTTATGGAATTTTTTCGCTAAAATTTTGGAAAGCAACTGAACAAGTTTCGACTCTGAGAACATAAATCAGCACCTACACAAGATTTCTATGACATGTTATACTTTGATTAAAATTTATTTGAACTTCAAAATAAAAAAAAAATTAATAAAATTAAATTACGTTATAGCAGTATTGACAAACGAAGTTTAATCTTCTCTTTTGCGGTACTCAAATGACTAAAACTCATCAATATTAACAAAGCAGAAATATTTTAATTATTTACTTCGAGTGCTTGCCAATTTTCTGCTAAGTATGCTCCAAACTCGTGTCATTCGGTGTTGGAAGACTTCAACACCTCCTCAGATGATATAATCATTCGTTTGCTTTCAATTCGCATCTTCAACTTGTCAATATTAACAATCAGAATTCCAAATTGATTCGGCAACTTCAACAACATATTTGCTAGATACTTTGTTTTACGAGTATTAGAAACACTTAATCGAGATTTTTAAATCTGATTTTTACTATGGCTAGTTACCTTATAAGGTTCTTCAGAGAACATCAAACAAAGATATAATCTCACTAGTCTGCTACAGATGTGAACGATTTTATGTATGAAGTTGTTATGTAAAATGTAACAATCAACTTTTGCAATTATGGCACAGAATATTAATGCCTGCGAAACACTTTGTATCTGTTGTTTCATACAATAATTGTGTATTATTTCATTATAATTGCAAAATCTAGAATCTTGAATTTATGACTTTGTTTTATTAAAAAATAATCAATTTCATTCACATAGAGCTTATGTCAATTTATGCTTTTCAAAATCTTTATTCATCACTTTTTTTTTATATAATTTTTGCATATGGAATATTTATGAGAAATTCATTTCCGTAGTTTTAGTTTATATTGTTGAAGTGTTGAATTCATTTCAGTCATTTTCCCATATGCAAATTTGTTTTTTTTTTGAACAATCAAAAAGCAATGCCCGTAACCGATACATAATTGAATTGAATAAGTACTTATATATAATTTTGAAATATAAAAATTAATAATTAACATTCTGTTGCCTTTACTAGAGTGATTCTGATATCCGCGGCACGCCCATAACGGATGCAGTATGGATTAGTAGGTTGCCTACGCCAAGACGAAGAAAAGGAATAATCAAGCTAATACTTTTTATATATGTTTTCAAAACTAAAAGAAAAAAGTCATTAAAAATATTTTAAATTGGAAGAGATTCTCTTAATATATATCTTAACCGATATATATCTCGAGAATCGCTATTTTTAATGCAGTCTAATGCGTGCAGTGCATTGCATGGAATACTAATTCACCCGAATTGGTCAAATTCTATGCCAAATCAAAGAGAACGCAATGGATCTATTTGTATTCAACGTGGATGCAATTCAGACCAAGTGGGATACTAAGTAAGAAGAATGCGAAACACCGTAGAACAAGAAACTCAGAGAAGCGAGGATCCATATGTGGTCTTCGTTGATTTGCATTTACACTTCACTACATCGAATGCTAAATCGACATCGAAAGCGCAATGAATCCATATCTGGTCAATATGGATACAATCTTAGACCTTCCAATTAGTCTCTA